CTTTAATTTACTGATATTAGATTGATAAAAACTGAGATCTGTTGGAAAAGTACTTCAACGGGGAAGTTGAGATCAATGAACTGTGAGCCAAAAAAAATAAAAAATTTCCCATCAATACAAAAATAATCGGTATATCATACTTTAAGATCCGACTGTAATCGCCGCGGATATAGCGAAAAAAAAAAAAAAATGTTTGTCCCGAAATTCCCACCAAAAATACTTTGGACACAGGGCTGTAGATACATATCTTGTCCAAGACTAGAAACCAGATTATTTATTTCTTCTTATATCTCCAGATATCTCTTAATAATGTTAAGTTTATTTCAAAATCTTTCATAAAAGCTTTAGCACATTTTTCTGTCACTCTCCACAGCAACTTTCTACTGGCTAACTTATTTAGTTGGTTTGGATCGTTTACTCTCCTCTGGCATTCAACCACTTTGGCATTGTTTTTTTGTAATAAATAATAACTTTTTTTTTACATTGTTTGACACTTTTGACAAGCTTTCTTGTTTCAATATACTTGCCACAAAGAAAGCGAACACCAAAGGCAAAGCGAAAACAAAAAAGAAACAAAAAGCCACTACACATAGCAACAAGCAGAGTAAGCACGCAGCAACCGTTTGTACATTAGAGTGGTCCAAAAATACATAAGGGGGTGGGTGGAAGTTTATAATCGTAAGCTCTCATCCCAAGGATTTTTCGAAATGTTTAAAAAAGAAGATATTTGGAATTGCCTCAAAGCCCATGAAGTTTTTCATATATATATATTTTAAATGGGGGAAAACACTTTTTCGTGGAAATGGTATAGAATTCTTGTAAATCATTATCTGCTTTTCGATCGGAAAACTGTTTTTCTATTTAGGAGACTTCCAATAAGAATACGCTTTGCGACAGTTTTAATATACTTATTTTTTAAACAATAAAATGCGGTTACTCTTTTAGCCATTTAGAAAAATACTAGTGGTGAGACCTTTACAGTTTGAATTTTTTTTGGACCACCCTTATGTACATACATACATATGTATATATATATAAACTCGTAGTTGGCTAAATTGTGTTGCAATCAATTTAAGTCGAAAGTGAATAAAACACCGCTACCTAACAGATTGCGCTTACAAATATACATTTAAAAAAAAGCGAAAAAACACAAAAAAATATACTTGTATAGAGTTTACAGAGTGCGTGCGCGTGTGCGTCGCGTGTATTGCGTGCATTTATGCTCGCATTTAATTTTGACTTATTGCGCGCATTTGTTTCCATTTATTTTAGAGTTGACTTTTCGATAATTTTTTTTTTATTGATTTATTTATTTGCTTAATATATTTATATTTATTTATTACTTCAATTTGTTGCGTCGCGAATTTTTTATTGTCCCTTTCGGTAGGTTGTATTTATGGCATATATATTTTTTGCGAATATAAATATATACATAGATACATACATACTTTAAAGCGAGCTCTATGCGCTTTAAGATTTTCTATGACATTTTTGAATATTTTACTATTGCCAGAAATTTGCTAGCAACTGCTACTTTCACATTTCTCTTCTTCTTATTTTTGTTTCAGATGGTGAGATCCTGCGCGTACTGGTCAATACTTCAGCGCAAATTAAATGCGATGTCGGTTCCAGTTTGCCAGACGATAAAGTTTTACTGGTCGTTTGGTATAAGAATAATCTTCCAATTTATAGGTAAGTACATAAATTCATTTCAATTTTATGGTCTTGATTGGCATATTGGTTTGTGAGTGAAATGCTTTAAGTGATACGGTCTATTTTAATAGATATGTATAGAATTGAGATTTTCAGTGAAAATCGCAACAGTTGAAGTAAAGTTGAGGGCTCTCTCCCGTATTTAGGTGATTTTATTTAAAAAAAAAAGTGCAGAGTTTGTACGGATATGGGTTGAAGTGGCATAACATTTTGATAAGTAGCTACATATGTGTATGCAGACTTTTTTTTTGCACCTTTAGTTTCCTACTTAAACCCTATAACTTATGCTTAACATTGAAGAAGCTACGCCTGATTAATACCACTGAGTTTTTTTTCATTCTTCAGCTGAGTAACTATACTCGTTAATCGTAATACCAAACATATTTTAGAGGCCTTCACCATTAAAATTTGTTAAATATCTTTAAACTGATCCATCGTATCTAAACCGCTTATGCAAATCACAAATGTTGCTCTGCGGATCCTTTAGAAG